CAGAACTAAAACGATCAACTAAAACCACAAACAGAGCAAAATAATTACAGGTTAAGAGTTTATAAACCCTAAAAGAGTTTGGCTTCACTTCTGTAACAGTTTCTGTGAAATAAAAGCTCCAGTCTCAGGTTGTTAGTAAGTTTACTGATGTGATATTTAAAAGTAAGCTTATCGTTTAGCCGGATGTCCAGGCTTATCTATCTATATATATATCTATATATATTATATATATATATATATATATATATATATCAATCAATCTTTAAACTCAGAGTTCATTGAAGGAGACTCTCATTTACAGTGTAGTCGAGGCGATACAGAAATCAGGGATTGAGAAGTTAAATGGTATTAAATACTTATTAAATAAGATAAAATAAGGATAAATAAAAATATAATTAATGAAATACATAAAGAAATAAAAGATAAACAGTAGCCTGGCAGGCTCATCACTGTATCCGTGATACGATCCAGTCTAGTTTTCCTGTGTGTGTAGGTGTCCGTATGTACTGCTGGAGTATGTGGGTTCTGTCCTGACCGCTTCTGGGTTCCAGACTCTGCTATTTATTATCCTCCCTGTCAGCCGGCCGGTCCACTTTCTCACAGGACCATCTGACCATGACAGTACAGACATACCGGCAGGTGGGAGAGGTGGGGGGTTCTGGTGCAGAGTAAGGAAGCAGCTGGTATTCTTTGTGCTGACCGCCTCCACGCTTGCATCCAATTAACCTACTTTTGATTCAGCCTCCTCTAAGGATGCTGGGAAAGGCTCTCTGTTAGATCACACCTGCCTGCAGAGAGCACCAGACAGAGGCACTGAGAAAGAGGACGAGACCCAGAACCGGGCAGAGCCGACGCTCAGGAAAGGACTTTAGATAGAGTTTCAGTTTCAATAAAGAAATAACAGAAAATGATTCCACACACTGACCTTTATTTACGAGAGCTGTTTACAGTCAAATCTAATCATAAAAAATCATACAAGTCCAATTATAAATACTGTTGAGATCAATACAAATCCAATTATATACTGTCAAGACTTCACACACATTTCATTTACAGGGCTGTGATCCATTAAAAGGTGCTGTTTCTCAGTCCAGTCCTCACCAGACAGCTCACCTTTCTGCTCTAACTCCGAGTCCAGCGCACCTGCGCCAGGTGTTCAGTGTTTAATTAATGTTTTTAAGTTAATGTTCTGAACGGCTCAGTGCAGGTGTGTTGGGAGCTGGAGTGTAAAAAATGGCTCGTCAGATTAACATAAAAATGACTTAATATGGTAACTAGTCAGTTCACTGGTTTTATTCAAGCTAAATAAATACTTTGAATGAACGATTCTTTGAATCAGTTTTGTAGCTGAATTAAACTAGTTCAGCTGCTTGTTACCATATGAAGTCATTTTTTAGGTAGATCTGATGAGCTGTTGTTACAGTGTGAGCGCTGGGCTGGGAAACATTGCTTTGAGGATCTAAAAAAAGTCTAAAGGAAACCATATTGTGTTCATTTTACACGCTGAGACTGAATTGGCTGTGTATGAATGTCAGAAACTGTATTAAGCTGTTTCTACACCACACGATTTTAACCCCGATTTGCCCCTCATGATAAATGTTCACAGTCTGAAGTGATTCTCCGGTTGGCAGCTCGATCGGAAGCGACTGACGCTGAGGATGATCTGTAGTGTGAGAGGAGAAACAAGTGAATCTGTAGCCCCCCGATCGAACTCTGGACTGATCAGAGACCCTCAGATATTATCAGACATGTTTAATATTTATGACGTTCACAAGTTCTGCAGTGAGAGGCGGTCAGAGATGAACTCAGTGAGTGATTCAAACAGCCAATCAGAGAGCTGGAAGAGCGTAGAGAAAGGAGAAGAGACAAGCATGAACAGCAGAGAGACAGAGGAGCTGAGCATAAAACACAGGCAGATAAGAGTTGATATCATGATTCTAATGTTTATAATGTTTATAATAATGTTTATTGTGTTTATAATGTTGATCCAGATCAGCTCTGTCTTTACAGTTTCAGCTCAGCTGCCAGTTTGTAGTGAAATATTTCTCCAGCTGTCACTGAATCAGTGTTTCTCACCTCAGATTCATCCCTAGTTTGAGTTTTCACTGCACTTAAAAAACAGGTCCAGTGAGTTCAGCTCTGTGTGTCGTGTGATCTGAGGAATTCTGGGAGTTTGAGTTCTTGTTCATAGCTGAAACTCGTTCTGTGTGTTATTCTCTCTCTTTGCCGTGTCGTCTAGTCTGAGCGCCTCATGAATTAAGAGTGTAAAGCCGTGTAGTGACGCTCAGCCTCAAAGGGCCGTAATCACTCGCGGCTCTCGGTGTGTTTCAGGGTTTCATCTACCTGATTTTCTCTGAGCTGAGTTCTCGACGCTCTGAGAGCTTCCAGCCTTCACTGAGAACACTCTATACACAGTCGTTGTTCCTCAGAGTTCTAAAAGGTCCAGCTGGTGTCCTGACCGAGAGGGCAGCATGGTCTGCACCGGTCAGATTAACGCCTGCTTCATCACTCATAATACAGAATGTTCCACTTTTGTGAAGAAAAGGACGTTTCGCTCTGAAACGCCGAGATTCCAGATTCTCATTTGTTCCTTGTTGCAGACGAAAGGCTAAAAAAGCTTTTTAAGTGCCATGTCGTCTCTCAGACGGCTCTCAGGCGGCGCTCCGCTCTCTCACCCTGATCTGACCACTGTGTTAGATCCATTTCCTTTCTCTCTGATTGCTCCCAAAATCACACTTGCCCTCTTCCTCTGAGCGCTCCTCAGGTGCCTCCCGCTGTGATGCGTTTGGGAGGAATGGTGAGCGCAGACGCCTCCAAATGCTCTGCTGTGCTGTGAAGCTGAAACTGGGTCGAGAGCAGCTGTTATGCTTTGATCTGTATAATTGCAGTAATATAGGGTATTATAGGGTACAATGAGGAGTGAAGCTGTAATGTAGAGATGATCACTGTAAACATGCAGTTACACCAGCCGGCCTCGTTCTGCTCCTTCAGACCAAATAAACAGAACTCAGAGTTTAGAGAGATTAAATTAGACTAATTAGCTCTTCAGAGTGTGTTATATAAACACTCTCTTCGTCAGGATGTGATAAATGTGAAACTTTGTGTCTGATACTGATTTCAGGGGCTAAACATTCTGAGAACCGATAATTTGAGACAGTGTGACCAGAGGTTTTAGTTAACTTATGTGGAGTCAAGGTGTCCCAGTTCAGGGGCTGCATCCTTCAAAGGCTGTGTAAACCCGTGAAGTCTGAACTGAAATGAGACGATCGGCTTTACGGTGGATTTCCTGTTTGCGTCACAGCGCTGCTGTTCCCGCCCTCACTGCTCCTGTCAGGGTCTTTTAAAGTTCTCTAAAGACGGAGCCACAAACTGATTTTAGTGTTTTATTTTTCCTTTATTAGAGCTGGAGATGCTTCTCTCTGTCGGCTCTTTGCTCTCTAAAACAAAACGAGACTTTAGTGTAAGTTCTGCTTCAGACCTCATTGGCTTTTTAACATCTGTATCTTTAGCTATTCGACTCAGTTTAAACCCAGTACTCACATTTAAAGTGTCTCCTCAGCCGCCGTTCGCTCCTCTGCTGACGCCGACATGTTCTCGAATCCTCGCCGACACACAGTGAACCTCAGGATATGTTGGCTGGTGAAGGATCCACCCTTTGGACACATTTCTTGGCAACATATGAAGGAGCCTTCGAAATGGGACAGTCTAGTCGTGCCGCTGTGACACAGTCGGCCTTCAAATGCAGCCTCTGAAGGATGCAGCCCCTGAATTGGGACACTGTCATCCTGCCCTCTGTGCTGTTTTTGGTCTTGGTTCCTCTCAGTGTTTCTTCCTCTTTGCTCTTAGGGAGGTTTTCCTTGCCACTGTCTCCACTGGCGACAGACCCGGATTTTTCTGTAAAGCTGCTTTGTGACAACACCTGTTGTAAAAAGTGCTATAGAGATAAACTTTGACTTGAGTTGACTTGTGCTCCCACAGTCACGTTCCCTTTCTCCTCCTCTCTCTTTACTCCTCTATCTAGTCTCCACTTCCCCAAACGCTTTAGCCGAGCGCGCTAACGTTACTCCTCCTAATAAACAGACACACGTTCAGCTCCGTCTCCTCATTATTCACCACCATCACTGTAATATTTCATCATCAACATTAACACCCGAAGGTGATCAGAGGGGCGGTGGAGATCGAGTCTGCAGCGTCTGAGATCTTTAAAACGCAGAGTTAGAAAAGAAAATCATCTCACAGTGAAAGCAGCGTTTTACAGTAGAAATAAATGGAGCTCATTATGCTGGTAGTGAACTATGCTGCTGACACAGCTGCCTAAAAACCATAGAAACGGACCTTAAACAGAAGTGAGGACCCTGTTGGGGTTCATCCTAAAGTTAGGACAGGATTTAGGAGGTTTAGTCTAGTTAGGATGTTTGTGTGATGCTGTTTTCTTATCTGGAGTTCATGATGAGATTATGAAGGTAGGAACTGTTATTCTGGAATGGATACTGTCCAAAATTCAGTCTGGACTGAAGTTGTCATGGAGACCAAACAGAGTCAAGATGTTTCCTCTGAGAAGCACCTCTGAACATGTCCAACTTTGAGGTGGATGGGCTACAACAGCAGAAGACCACATTGGGTTCCAGTCCTGTCAGACAGCAACAGGAATGTGAGGCTACAGTGGACACAGACTCGCCCAAACTGGAAAGCTGAAAACATGACCTGATCTGATTAATCTTGGTTTCAGAATTTGGTCAGAATTTGGCATAAACAGCATGAATCCAAGGACCCAACCTGCTGTAGACAGCTGAAGCTGGTGATGGTGTAATGGTAGGGGGAACAGTGTCTTAGCACACATTGGACCACCTAATACCAGTCGAGCATTGTTTGAATGCCACAGTCTGTCAGAGTGTTGTTGCTGACCGTGTGCACAGTTTACCATCTTCTAACAGCTGGAAACAAAGCTCATGTTACCTACAGTCCTCTAAGGTCTAGGTATTAACCAGAGAGGTGTGGGATACTCCATAGTACTAGATAATTCATTTGTGTAATATGATGGTAACGACCAAGACAGTTTAACTGAATGACACTAAATGTGTAACAGATTCTAGACATTAAACTGATAAAGGACAAATGTAAAATATCTCATAATTATTTGGAGTAATAAGGTGGGACATACAGTAAAGTTTACTGTAAAGCTGGAAAGTAAATCAGAAGCTCCTCTAAGTAGCAGGTAAGTTATATGGAGTAAAAAGAAAAGAACCCAGTAGAACCACAGTAAGAATCACTGCTGCATACAGACTGTTTATGACTCTGTACTTTATTCATCTGCAATCTTTTTACCCAAAATAAACACTGAGTACAGTAGAGTTTATACCACATACTTACCCAGTTTATCTAGAACCTGCTTCTGTGTAATTCAGTTCTCACCATCATGCCACTCTAAATAATTACTGTGTATTTTGTACCTGATGCATAGAAGATAAAAGAAGGTGTTACCAAGTATTTTCAGACTGATTCTGTGAACATTACAGTGAGTTCAGAGCCGTTTACAGATCCTAATCCAGTAGATTCTCCATTTGGGATAATTAATTATTTAACTTAATTAGCAATAATAATAATAATAGCAACAGCACATAATAATAACCCATAATAGTAGTGATAGTCACATTATGATGAGTATAATTACCTTAAAAAAGATTGAAAAATGTTCTATGTAGAACCATGAACACTCAACACCTTTGCATGGTCAAATGGTTCTTCAGATTGTTGTACAACATGTACAACACATTCTCCATCAATCTGAAGAACCATTTCACTATGCATAGAACCATTTAATCATGCAAAGGGTTCTTTGAGTGTTCATGGTTCTATATAAAACAATATATAGAACAATCTCTACTAAAGAACCATCTTTTTTAAGCCTGTCTGTAAACAAGGCTGTTGACTCAGTGTGGCTTGTAATGAAGGTATATAAAGGTCTGTAATGTGCATATTCATTATTTACTCTTATAGAAGTGTTGACTGTAGTGTTTATGCATAATCTGATATTATTATAATCATTTGTGCTGATTTTTTAGATTTGGTCTGGCCAAACGTTCAGTCTGCTGTACAGATCCAGATCCAGATCCAGTTCACTCACACTGCCCTGTTCTATCAGCTGTTTGTGGAGCGGCTGGTTAAGCGAGGCTCTCGTCGTCTCCCTGAATGAACTGTGTGGTGTTTTGGGTCATGTGTCCTCTGAGTAAATGAAAATAAACATTTTTCTTTCCAGCTGCTGGTCAGCAAGGCCGGCCTCTGCGACCCGGACTGACCTGTTTATCAGTGCAACCCAATACAGCGAGTCTCTGTCGGCTTCACTGGAGCTCGTTTAGAGCTTCTAAAAGACTGCAGTTAATGAGCGGCTTACTAGTTTACTCACAGCGCTGATTATTATTGATCTGTTTGAGAGATGAACTACAAAGACATGCCAGTGTCCAGTGAGGCCGAAGAACGCCACTGATTCTGAGGTCATGATATTTATTGATACCTGTTAACTGACATGTTAATTGATTCTGTCTCAGACGCTGAGTTGGTTGTAAAGTTGTGGATCTTTGAGTTATTATAGACAGAAGCCCCAGATTCACATATTTTAATGTTTCACTGGGATATAGTTCGTTTGTTTAAGTAATCATCACAACAGATGTTGTTTTACAAAGATGACAGAATAATCTACAGATTCACTGAACTATTTCACCTTTGCAGATCTCAAATTATTAGAGTTTTTGAGAAAATGATTTTGAAAAAACAATATTTGTTGTGTCGATAATGACAAAAAGCTTGAGAAAGCACACAAAATAAATAAATAAGTATATCTGTGAGCTTTTAGGGACTCTGTTTTTTCTTTTGAAGTATTGTGTTTATTTATCAGTTATTTCTCTTTTTTGGAAAAGTCCCACCTGTTTTATTTTAATATGCGATTCTTATTTTTCCGCATCATTTAAGCGCAGCAGCTGTATGAAATTTCAGAATGAATGAACCAGTAGAAATGCTCCAGAATTGCTTGGAGAAAATCTGTTTACATGAACTTTAAAAATACGAATATCTCTGCCTTCTGCTGTCAAGTTATCATTATTATTGTATTTGCTGTCAGGGCTGTCAACGCGCTGCTGGTCTGGGTAACTGGGCCTCTGTCTGAGTGGATGTTCTCTGAAGGAACTGAGGGACAGATTGAGGAGCCACCACATCATCTGCTCCTCAGCTCAGCACATGCTGTTGTTCTGTTTCTGCTCTGACTCACACTCAGTGCTCAGCTCAGCTCTCAGCTCTGCTCTTTCAGCTCTTAATGATTCTGGGTCAGCCTTCTGCTGGTGGTTAAACGGTTTTAAAGGTGGACTGTAAGGTAGCAGTGAAGGATCTAGTGTCGTGAGGCCAGACGTGGTCTTGTAATGAGAATGCTTGTAGACAGCCGTGAGATGTTTTGGGCTGAATGTGGGGAACGTAGGCTTATTAGGGTGAGAACAGACTGAGTGAAATTTCTAAATCAATCCATTGTCTCGTGAAGGTGGAACTCACAGTAGGGGGCGCTGGAGCGCTCATCAACATTCTCCAACAGACAATAAACCTGTCGTTAGCACGTGGATGTAGTGCTAGTTAGCATTAAGCTCCACAGAAAACTCCAGTTAAGCATGTCGACACATTTAACTAGACCAGCTTCAGCTTGAGAGGCTGTCACTGGAGCTTCTGATTTACTTTCCCTCTTAAACAAGTGACTTTACAGTGAAATTAACTGTATGTTTATATTTACCACCTTATTACTCCAAATAATTGAGATATTTTACTATGTGTCTAGAACCTGTTAATTTCATTTCAGTGGTACGTACCATCATTTTACCCCAAATTCAGTGTAATTTAATTATCCAAACTGACTACCATTTCATCCAAAATAATTATCTAGAACATTGTAGTTTGTACTAAATATGTACTTGGCTAATATCTAGAGCGTAAGAAGCTGTAACAGAAATCATAATCTCAGTATAAATCAGTATATAAACAGTGTAAAACTGACAGTGGCGGTTCTGTATGTCAGTTTTTAAACGGTCTGTCTGTGTTCTGTAGGAACGCCAGTCCTGTGGGGGTTCTCCTGACGGCGGTGGTGGCGCTGTCCTATAGGGTGGCCATCTCATACGAGGGGTAAGATTATTTAATGTACAGTATTTAATTTACAGTGATCTCTGGAGGCAGAGCTGCACAATAATCAGCCTTTACAACACTGAGATCACAGAGGGCAATATGCAAATGAGCTTCGACACCAATCACAGAAGGTTTTATTGTGTGCTGTGAGCATGTTGACCAATCACAGATGGGTGTGTAGATAAATCGAGGGATTGACACGATCCAGCAAATATGAATAATTCTGATCAGAAATAATGCAGGTCAGTCTTTATCACATCACAGAGTTCGCTGTCGTGTTCAGACTGTTTCGGTCACGATGTGAAGGTTTTTTTTTTCCTTGTGCAAGACCTCAAATTAATTACATTAACTTTCTTGAGTTCTTGAGAAAATGACCTTAAAAAAACAACATTTGTTTTATCGATAAATAACAAGAGAAATGACTGATCTTGAAATAATGTGTAAGATCTGTGGGTATTTAGGGCTTGATTTTCCATCTGTTTTACATTTTTATTTTTCAGCTACAATATATATATATATATATATATATACTATATGAAAGCTGTGCAGTACCTAAAATCATCCAGATACAGGCAGCAGCTTCAGGTAATGTTCACAGCAACCATCATGGAGTAAAAATGTGATCTCAGTGATGGGAGCCAGGCGTCCCCCTCTAAAAACTCCCTCACAGGAAGTTACTTCATGAAATGGTTATGAATTCACTGCCTGATGACTGAGACACTGTTTTATGATAGAAAATATATTGTCACTGTTAGAACAAAACCTTTTATCTCTTCATTCCGTTTAATTTTTTATTTTATTTTAGTATTTTTTTTTTTACAGAGTTTGAAAAAGTGTGAAAGATGGGCTGCAGAAAACAGAAGAACTCTTTTTACATTAACTGCCATTATAAGTTAAGAATGTTATTGTGGAGATGTAAAATTTTGTTCCAGCAGTGATTTATATTTTAAAACACATTCATGAAGAGCAAAGAGCATTTACCACCACTGAGTCGGCGAGGTTCTCTGCAGCGGATCATTTCTCACCAGACCCCTCTGAAGGACTTTTGTTAATATTTCAAACTCTGAGTGATGCAGAACTTTTTTGAATTGGTGGAGTTTCCCTTCTAATTCTTTCTGTAAGCACACTCATTCCTGTCTTGCTGCACTGATGATCAGCTTTATTCTGGATTTTGTTCTTCATATATATGTATTGAGAGTGTCTGTCTGGGTGTCAGTGAGCTGTGGATGGAGGAGTCAGAGGGAGGTTCAGTTACATCTGCACTCATTGTGCTTTTAGACGACCTCACACCACTCAGTGCCTGTTGTCATGTAAATACAACAATTCTATCCATCCATCCATCCATCCATCCATCCATCCCTCTTCCGCTCTGCTCCTGCGTCCTGTGTGCTCTGTGGAGACGCTGAGTCACTCTTCTTGCTGATGACTGAAAGCTGTTGATTGAGTTTCTGTGCCTCACGTTTAGAGAAGAGAAGGAAAGTAGGAGGAAGTTCAGCCCACAGTCAGATTCAGAGCGAGAGCGCGAGCGCACGGACTCTTATCTTCTCCTTCTAAAGACCCCGCTGTGTCCTCGTGGAGACTGACAGAAACGCGGACCCCTGTGTACCCTGTGTACAGCAGCTGAGACCTGAACGAGACAAACAACACAAAACAACAGCAGAGAGAAGCTCATTATCAGCCTGACCTCAGAACACAGCCCAGAGAGTGATGGACCACCACAGCCTCTCTCTCTCTCTGTATCTCTGTATCTCTCTCTCTCTCTCTCTCTCACTCTCTCTCTCTCACTCTGTATCTCTCTCTCTCTCTCACTTTCTCACTCTCACTCTCTCGCTTTCTCTGTATCTCTCTCCCTCTCTTTCTCTCTCAGTACACTCTTTCTCCGCCTCTCTTTGCATGCACTCTCTCCCTCTCTCGCTTTCAGTAAACACTCTCTCTCTCTGAGCACTCTCTTTTTTTTAGTACACTCTCCCTTTCTCCTCTCTTCTTCCCTCCCCTCCTCTCTTCTCTTCTTTTTCTCTCCTCTCTTCTCCTCTTTTTCCCTCCTCTTTTTCCCTCCTCTCTTTCCCTCCTCTCTTCTTCTCGCCTCTCCTTTCTTCTCTTCTGTCCCCTGTTGTTTTTTTCTCTTCTCTCCACTTCTACTTTTCTCTCCTCTCATCATTTCTTTTCTCCTCTCCTCTCTTCTCCTCTTCTCTCATCTTCTCTACTCTCTTTTCCTCTCCTTTGTTCTCCTCTCCTCTCCTCTTCTCTCTCTTTCTCTTCTGAGAGTGTCTCTCTCTCTGAT